TTTTTGCTGGCAAGCACAACCGTGGAGAGGTTTTGTGTTTTGTTTTCCTGAGGTAGTGTTAACGGAAGAGGTGTCAGGCGCCTGTCACTTGCTTTGAGGTGTTAAGGGTCAAGGCAGGAAGTGACCATCCTCCTGTGAGTAATAGCAGCACAACATGGTCCGGGAAGGGCTGTAGCCCTGGCTCCCAGCTGAACCTGCAGGTTTCTGATAGGGGCAGCGGGAGGCCCCTTTTCAACGAAATCATCAACGCTCTGTGTGACAGTGGGGCAGGATCTAGCTAGAGATGTTGGCAGGCAGACCTGAACACCACCTTGCCCATGCCCACCTGGCACAGGGTCATCACTGCCTCTTCCCCGGGCTGCCAGGCTTCGGGAGTAAGGCTTGGCAGATCCCCCGTGTGGGCTAGCAAACCCTTAGCCCCTGCATCAGCCAGTCCAGTAGGGGTCGTGACAGGGGCTCTGCGTGCGGACGTGGAGGCCGCTGTGGAGCTGGAGCACCCAGAGCCCTTGTGTGGGGCCAGCCACTGCGGCCTCGGCAGCTCGAGGCTCGGCGCCCCTTAGCTCAAGTCAGGTGAGAGCTCCCCGCAAGGTAGGAGCAGGAGCCAGCCAGCCCACACTGTCACTGACTTCATTACACTGGGCGCCTCGTCATGGGGACCGGCAAGCCAGGTTTAGAGATCCCCTCTGCCTTCTGCCCATGCTGTTGCTAGCTTGACCTTGGCACGCATTATCTTGATTGTATTTCATCATTTGCTTCCTGTCAGTGCTGTGTGACCCTAAATGGTCAAGTTTCCAAGCACACATTCTGTCTTATATATATCTTGTAGCCAAAGAACTGTGTAATTAAAGAGCACTATACAGTTAAGGGAGCTCTGGTAGCATAGTGGCTAAAGCACTTGACTGCTAATCAGAAAGCTGGCAGTTCAAACCCACCAGCCACTCCTGGGAAGGAAGGTTGGGCAATCTACTTCCGTAGTGATACTGCCTCGGAAACCCAAGGAGTGGTCACTATGAGTCGTGGCCGACTCGACGGCACACAACAACAACAACAATACAGTTAAGGGTTTGCTCTGTTTCTTGGCAGGCATAGAAACATAAATGTGATTTCTGTCAATCCTAGTAATTTATTTTTTCAATATTATGTGTTTATCTGAACATGGTATTTCGAAAGTCAGGTATTCTCTACAGATCTTCTCATACTGGATAAAGGAATGATTTTATTCTTAGGAGCGAATCCTTTAGACTTCCACAGACCATAATTCTGTATATTTGTAATTCTTACTGTGTACCTGGTGGGTTTATCATGGATTGCTATTATTGTTCCATGCATTTTCATTATAGTTTACCATAGATATGTTTTCAAAATCTGTTATGAGATATAATTGTACCCATTGTTAATATTGCAGAATGCCTACTCTGCATAGACGTAGATGGTGGATGTTTTGTTTTGTTTTGAAACAAGTATTTAAAACAGGTATTCTAAAATTTAGAGGAGCCCTGGTGGTGCAGTGGTTAAAGTGCTTGCTGCTAACCAAAATGTTGGTGATTCGAACCCACCAGATGCTTCATGGGAGAAAGATGTCACAGTCCTCTCCTGTAAAGATTTACAGCTTTGTGAACCCTGGGGGGTAGTTCTTCTCTTCCCTGTAGAGTTGCTATGAGTTGGAATTGACTTAACAGAAATAGATGTATTGTCAAATTGTTCTGATACTGTCACTGCTTTTTTTTTGTTTTGCAATTCTGAGCCATTTCTCCATCTTCTTCATTAGGTGACTTTATTGTACATTACTTACTATTACATAGGTCTGTGCTTTCTCATTTATTTCTCTGCAATAATTATGTGTCAGCTTGCATTAATGAAATATTTTCTTCAAATATATGAAGTTTTCACATATCTGCATCAATTGATGTATGCTGTAGGATGGCAGTAAAAAAGACTCCTTCTTTTAGAACTAATGTGTTTTTAGTGTAAGTGATCATAAGGTATTTGAAAGCTACCTTCCCTGGAAATAATCTGAATTAATATAATGATCCTTTCTTTGTTAAGAGTCTTTTAATTTTGTGTTCCTTTAAAGGCCGTGATTGAGAAGTTCCATAACTCTGTTCATTATAAGTATTGCTTTTGGTGTAATATTATGGTTTTTGATATAAAATATTTTCTGCCTGTAGTTAATAGGAGCCCTCTGGTTCTTTATATCTTCTAGATGTCTCTTCTCCATGTGTCATCAAGCAATTATCTCCAAAAGAGATTATTAATAAAGGAAAGTTGTACAAGACAGTGATGTCGGAAAGATATGAAAGTTATGGCATCGAGAATTTTGACTCCAGGCAAGTCAGGGAACACATGCTAGAGTTTGAGAGTCAGTGGGGCCATGGTGAAAGAAATGACAAAGGAGTGACCGTCACTCATAACAAAAATCTCACTGCTAAAAGAGACCCACATATTAGAAGAGATGAGGGAAACGAATACATGACATGTTTTGAAACCAAGATAGGACTCAACTCTCAACCACATCTGGCTGAGCTGCAAAGATTCCAAGCTGGAGTGACTATGTGTGACCGGGATCAAGGAGAGAAGTCTGTCAACAGAGGATCTCCAGTTCCACCACTTAGAATTCCTCCTAATGTCAACACCAACGTTTGTGGTAAATATGGGGAGGTTTTCACGCACCCTTCATTGCTTACATCACGAGAGGAAACACACATTGCAGGAAACATTTACAACCGTAATGAATGTGGGGTGGATTCTAACCAAAGATCAGTGTTTGTTGATCTTGAGGTAATTCCTTCTGTGCAGAAGCTTTACAAAGGTATTGAATGTGACAAAGCCTTTAAGTGTGGCTCAAACATCACTAATACCAGAGAGAGACCATATAAATGTAAGGTATGTGGCAAGTTCTTTCGTCAGAACTCAAACCTTGCAAATCATCTGAGAATTCATACTGGAGAGAAACCTTACAAATGCAGTGAGTGTGGCAAAGCCTTTAGGTGGCGCTCCGTTCTCACCAAACATCAGAGAATCCATACCGGTGAGAAACCACA